TTTTTTTTGTCTTTTTGAGACATGCTCTTGCTATGCAGTTCAGACTGGCCTTGAGCTCACTTCATAGCCCAGGCTGGCCTCGAACTCGCAATGATCCTCCTGCCTCAGCCTCCCAAGTGCTGGGATTATGGGCGTGCACCACCACACCTGGCTGTAATATTTTTGAAAGTCTACAGTGAGCACTTGAGAATATTATGAGAGCCTGATCTTTTGCCCACGACTTGCTTCTAGAGGATAAATTTTGTCTCTTCTGTTATGGTAACAGGTGTTATCAATCCCAGTGTAGCAAATATTCTCAGGTCGTTTCCTGAGAGAAGTAAAGAGGCTCCCTTTGTCTACCGCTCAAGATGCGCAGCCGGCTACGTCAGTCTTCTACTCAACCTTATTAACTAGGCGGCGACTCTGTGACTTCTGTGGTCTACCTTTCTTAAAACAGCTGTGAATGGCTTTAAACATATTATCTTATTTAGCTTTCTGAGACGGAAATGGAAAGCGCAGTTGGCCTGAACTTCTGGGGACGCCACACTGAAGTTTTGGTTTCCAGAAAACCGCAGACGGGAGAGGAATTCCGCTGCCGGGCTCCGGGCCTCCTGCTCCCAGACCGGCCCCTGACCCTTCCCCAGATGGTGCAGGGCGGGCCTAGATTTCTAAAATATTCTCACTGATTTTTTCTTTTATGGATAAACTCGATGCTTGATGCATTTAAAGCCGTTAAAATCTAGCTGGGGTTGGTTTCAGCTGTGTCACAGTCCGTCCTGCGCGTCCTTGGGTCTGCTCTCCATCTGTCTTGGTTCAAGCTTTCACTGTTTTCTTCCTCAGGGATTCTTCTGCAGTCACTTCGAGGTGTTTCAAAAAGCAGCATGAGCGGAGCACTCGCCTTGTTTCCTGCACTGTCCGGCACCCGCTGAACTTTACCCCGAGGACAGTGCGCCCGAGTCCCGCCCGTCACCGCCTCGCTGCGTCTCAGCGGCTCCTCACGCACGCCACACTCAGCTGGCGCAGCGGCCGCGTCGCCGCGGGGTCAGCCGTCTCTGCTCAGCTTGGCTCCGCGTCCTCTCTTCCTGGACCCCAGGATGAAGGAGCAGGACTGAGCAGTGGGACCCCCAGACTCACCGTGGAGGGTCAGGGCGGGAAGGGAAAGTACTGACAGACGCTGGATGGATCACACCCCGATCTTAAGCTTCGTCCAGAAATTGTTCCCCATCGGTTCTGTTCATGTTCCCGCAGCCAAAGCAGTCGCAGGCAGCCTGAGCGGACG